GTCGTTATCTCCCGAGGGGTCCCAGACTGTGAGAGGGCACAAGGGAGGCTGAGGGACACGCCCCCCCCCCCCCCCCCAGTGCAAAATTTTTTGTCCACCAGGCCTCTAGTATCTTTAATAACTATGTGCATTTATATGTGTATGCATTTATGAGCTAGACTTCCACAGGTTTGCAATGTAAGATTCTAGACCTGAGTTCAGTGATTATGGACTTTGATCTGAAGTGCCCTTCTCTGCCTCCCTCCATCACATTGAGAGAACTGCCCGAGAGCAGGGAACGAGATGAGGCATATTGACCTGGTGAGCATGATCACCCGGGACAGATGTCACAGCCAGGTCAAAACTGGTGCCCTGACTAGCAGTGAACTGCCCAAGGAGCGTCTCTGTGGTGTGGCTTTCCTCTTACAGGAAGAAAGCTTTTCTGGTCTTGAGCACAGTCAGTTTATTTCACTTTCACTTATAATAGACTTGTTACCTTGTAATTATCTTCTTTTTCCCCCTAGGAAGAATCAACTAATTTCTGGGTTATATTTAATTACTTTCAATTAGCTATTTGTTTTTTATCAGCAAAATATAATTATTAACACCTGAACCGTCATATCCCAAAGAAATATATATGAAATTGGCTCCACCAAAGAAATTTTGTATACCTATTTAAACACCATCATATATGACAAAAATAAAAAACTAGTTATATATTTAGAATCAGCAGATGTCAATTCAAAAAGTTGATTATAGTTCTTAGCCTTTGTCTCAACTCTCCTAAATAAGCAATAGCTTAAATGACATTTGGGGAAAGATTCTTCTTAGCACTGTTACTGTTAACACATAGTAGGGTTTTCCCTGTTCTGCAGAGAAGGAATTCTCAGGACATGCTATTAACTTAGAAGGCATTCTGAAATATTCCAGTCCAGTGAAAGTGATTGTTTTGGAATTATAATAAAGCAGTATTTTGTTTTTATGGGGGGGGTTTTTCTTGCAAATTTAACTGCTTTCATTATAATAAAAGCTGTGTTTGAACCCTGTGACTACCAGGACCCATCACATGCATTATTATCTTCGTAATCCTCACTATAAACCTACGAGATGGCACTGTTTTTATACTCATTGTAGAAGAGAAAACTGGGCTCACAGTCTTCTTGCAGAAATTATAGCATGTAGCTTATGAAATTGGGGTTTGATCCAAGATCATCTGACTGCAGACTCTTACATGGTTGTTTTGTGTGTGCCTGCTTTGGAGTGAAGTGCGTTCACTAATTCTGTGTCATCTGAAATCTTGTATTTTGTCCCATTTTTATCTTGCCTTATAGGATCAGACTGAGTGTGGTTTTGTCAGAAGTTTCTCCCAGAAGTAATCTTTTAAAGATCAAAATAGTTATTCTGCATAATAATTTGACTTTTACCTTTGGAAGTATGATGTTATAAAATACATAAAGCAGATGTTTTATAAGTTTTGGTAAATATCTTACTATTGACTATTTTATGTCTGTTAACTTGAGTGGGTATATGCATATATGTGAAGAATACATATATGAAGAAACCAAAGGACATTTTAAAGTTTCAATTTTGAAGGAGACTGACCAACATTTATAGAGAACATAAACAATGACAGAATGGAAAAATAATGAAAGAAAACTCTTAAGTAATTAAAAAATTTCTTTAAGCCTGCAAAAAAATAGTCCTTTCACCATTTGGTTCTCAAAAGGAAATAGACAATGGTGGTGTTACTTTCTGTTTCTCCTCAGGAAACTACTGTGCACAGCCAGCAGGGGCACGGGCAGCTTGTGTTTCCATTAAATGCCTTTTCCCTCTCCCATCTTGATTTCAGGTGTCAGAAACTATTTAAAAGAAGCATTGGTAAATATAATTGCAGTGCATGCAGAGGTAAGCTATCATTAGATGTTCCTAAGAGGTATAGGTAACTGGAAAAAAGGAAAAGGGGGCTAATATGGTGGTTTTTTTCCCCAAAATATTTTGTGCATTCCTTTGTTTTAAACAAATTCAAGTCAGAATAAGTCACCATAATGCACCATTTCTCCTTATTTTAAACCTTCTTTCAGGTGTTCACTATTTCCAAAGAATTGGTGCCTCGGGTCCTGTCCAGGGTGGTGGAAGCAGTGTCTGAAGAGCTCAGTAGACTAATGCAGTGTGTGTCATCCTTCAGCAAAAATGGAGCATTACAGGTATCAAAACCATTCCAGTCCATGTCAGACTATATTCCATTTAAACATGCACATGTGTTTTTAGTCATCAATCTTATGATAGACAGAGGAGTTTATTTGGTTGATGTGTGTGTGTGTGTGTGTGTGTGTGTGTGTGTGTGTGTGTTTTGATGGATCTGCTGATTTGAGGTGCACACCATCTCTCTTGCATAAGCCCTACCCATCCTGCCTTGTCTACAAGTTCCAGAGTTCCTGTGTCCTTAGAGCAGGGCAAGACCTTACTTACCATATAAAATTATCTGAATGCAGATTCCCTCTAAAGTTCTGTGATATTTTTCTTTTTATTTTATAGTTGTTTCACTACATTTAATTTCACAACAAATTTTTAACAACTTTTAACAAGTCTTTCTAAACTATTCAATGTAGTTTGCATAGAAATGACAAATAACTGTCTCTTTGCACTTATATTCCATTGGTTTATGTTGTAGCTATTTAAGTTACAGTTACAATAACAAATATAACTTACATAAACCAGATGATTCTTGGTATGCATATAACCAAATTGGTAGGAGCCAAGGTGTGAAGGCATATGGGAGAGTGATATCCTGCATGGGAGCTTTCATTGACCTGAAACATTGTGTGTTTTTAGTAAGTCCTGGCAATTTTCTTCCAGTAATGGCTGAAGAAGCTCTTAGCAGGCCAAGCCCCTACAGATAACAACTATAATCTTCAATAATATATAAAAAATTTTAAATTCCAAAAGAAAAAGAAAAACATGAAGACAGTGAAGAAATGACCATTAGTGAGTGATTCTAGGAGAAATGACACTTGGGTGTCATTTAGGCTTGAAGAATTAGGGAAACCACAACTACAGGCAAGTGAGGAATGTAACTCAGAAAGCAGAAAGCAAGAGCTACAAATTGTGTGTTTACACTGCTTAAGTCTCTAGTTGACCCCTAAACTATGTATGCATGGCCGACTCCACTACAGCCAGCCCAATTAAGGCCAAAATGACTGAAGTAAGAGTTAAAATGCTGCGCAAGAGCCAAGAGTTTTCAGTTTCCCTCCAAATAAGTAAATTGCTTACTAAAACAAGCAAAACAGATCAACACTCGTCAGAGGCATATTGCAGAATCCAAAGTCTCTACAACACAACATGCACAATTTCTAGGACACAATCCAAATTTCATTGGAACATACAGACAGAACAAAACGGAAAGCATGACCCATTTTCAATAGAAAAGACAATCAACTAACAGATGATCCAGTTGTTGGAATACAAAGACAAAGATTTTAAAGCAGTTATGTTCAGTGATATAAAGGAGACTGTGCTCAAATGAATGAAAAGATAGGAAATCTCCGCAGAAAAAGAGAAACCTTAAAAGAAACTAAATGGAAATTCTAGAATGGAATACATAAATGTGATTTTTTTTTTTGCAATCTACTAGTTCAGAATAATTGCAGAATAGAAAGGACGAAAGAAAAAGTGAATTTGTAGATTAACACAAATTATTCCATATGAAAAACAGAGAAAAGAATACTTGGGAGAAAATTAACAGAGTTCTAGGAACCCCTTGGGCAACGTCCAAAGTTCTAGCATATACATAATTCAATTTACAGAGGAGTCAGTATGGCCAATGAGCACGTGAAAGGATGATCAGCATCATCAATTGGAGCTCTCACACATTGTTGGGAGTATAAATCTTACAACTACTTTGGGAAAAACTCTTGCAGTTTCTTTGAAAACTAAACATATACATTCTCTATGACCCAGCTCCAGCTATTCTAGGTATTTAACCAAGAGAACTAAAAACATACCTTAATTTAAAAAAAGCATATAAGATGCTCATAACCATTTCCTTCATAATAGTCAAAAGCTGGAAACAGCCCAGGTGTCCATCAACAGAATAAACAAAACAACTGTGGTATGTTTATATAACCAAATACTATTCAGCATTAAGAAGGACAAACTACTGGTACCACCTGTATGAATCCCAGGAGCATTCAGCTGAGTGAAGGAAGCCTTACCCCAAAGCACACATATGATTATATGGGTTTCTCATCTGTGGTAGAAAAAAATCTCAGGAAAATGCTTTCCTCTGGGTAGTTGAGATTAAGTGGGAAGGGGCCTGAAGGAGCTTCATAGGGTGGTGGGTCTATACCTGGATATGGGTTTCCATTGCTCAGGTATATGCATCAGTCAAAACTCATCAAATGGTACACTGTAAGACTTATCCATTGTGTAATATGTAAGTTTTAACTCAAAACATAAAAAAAGAATTGAATCAGTCTACTTAGTTAATCATGCATGGTGAATTACATCAAAGCACTGTGGTGGGCTGATAGTTGGATGGATAAATGGTAGTGCTAGTAAGTATTAGTGGTCGAGTCTATGGGTCTACAAGTGTTCGCTGTAAAATCCTTTCAAAGTCTATACATTTGAAAATTTCTGTACAAAAATATGGTAGGCAAAAGGAATGGAGAGCACTTGTTAACTTGGCATGCTGGTTAAGGGAAAATTGCTGCTGTATTTTCAGTTGCCACCCAATTTTCTCTAAAAATTTGATTTGTCAAACTTTTGATATACAGTTAAAAGGTCATGATTATTATACTAGTCCTATTGCAAGAGAGCAGTAGCATAAATGTTGAGGTACTGAACATTAATTAAAAGGAAGTTGTAGTAACTACAGTTTGACCTGACCTAGGAAGTTTGGAATTATAACAAGAATCTCCCCTCCAGGCAAATTACTTTTGCAACCTATTTACCTGATGGTAAAATTCCTGTCAAAGCTAGCAGGAAGAAGTTAGGAAGAGATATCAGAATCAGCAACTTTTTCCATGTACAACAGGTCCTCAAATAACATTGTTTTGTTAAAAGTCATCTATGTATAAAGAAAGCTAAGTGTCCGTCCTTCCCTCCGACCAGTAGCTATGATGAGTACTGACCACCGGGTGCAGATGCTCAGCGCAGGCGCTGCCATGATGCGCAATGGCCATTTAAAAATAAACAGCACCACGGACATGGTGCCGACAAACCAACACTCAGCTTCCCCCAAGTGGGACACAGACCCTGCCACCCCCCCAGAGCTACACCCCACCAAATCGCAGCCAACGCTACCAAGACCCCATGGCACAAAATGTGGCGTCCAGCCCAGCCCGGAAATGGTCACTGTGGGCGCCAGGTAATGATGTCACATAGCAACGCCTGGCTTCCTCTCCCTAGCAACTGGCCTCCTTGCAGTTTCTTCAGCCCAAGAGCACGACTTACTTTATGGCCAGGTGCAAACATTTGACAGTTCAACCGAATGTCTGTGAAGCATTTTCACGTGCCTCATCTCATTTAATCCTCACAGAAGTCCTGGAGTAGGTAGATAGACTCCATAGAATCCTATTTTCTTTTCATTAGCAAGACAATGGAAATTAGGAAGTTTAGAAACTTGACCCCACTGAAAAGAAGTAAGAAATGGTGGAACTTGAAAATGACTTCAGGTTTTCTCACTGTGCAGAATATAGTCAAACACTGCTGCAGTTGAATATTTTACCCTTTGTTCTCCCTGTATGATCTACAATAATAGTCTGCTTCATGTTGATATTTACTGCTGTGTTCCTGACAATTACCTGAAAGAGAAGTTGGGGTGCTTCACTGGGCTGGAAAAGTTTAGCTAAATCAGCAAGCAGGTCTAATTAAGCAATTTATCTATATATATAAAAGGCTAAGTTTACTCGCACATGCGCGATGCATATAAAGCTCTCGGCGCCAATCGCACACGTGTTTCGATCTGTCATTGTCGATCATGAATTTGGTTGACACTTCTATTATAGAGAAAGGGCAAATAGCAATATTAAAATATTCCTTCTAATTAATTTCCTTTCAATGTGCACGAATCTGTGCACTGGGACACTATTTCATTATAACATTAATAAAAAAAAATTGATTCCTGACTGCGGCCACTGTCTGTTTGGGATGTGCACATTCTCCCCACGGCTGCGAGGGTTTCCTCCCACACCCCAGAGCTGTGCACTTGTCTACACTGTCCCAGTCTGTGAGCGTGGGGTGCATGATGTGTCCCTCAATGAAGGGCATCCCATCCAGGGTGGGGCCTGCCTGCGCCTTAGGCTGCCAGGTTCGGCTTCTGCCACCCAGGCTCCTGAAATGGAATAAGTGGGTTGAAAAATAATGATTTTATCTGTTTTTATTAATCTTTCTTAAATGTATGTATAGCTCCCAGTTATTTCAATGTTTAATATTAGCAGTGTTTGGGGTCCTTATTTAGAAGTTTAGCAATGTTTTTTTGACCATAAATATGCCATAGGAACGTATCTCTTGTTTCTAGCAATTAGCCTGTGGTAAAATTGGTTTTGTTGAATATCGTTTCTCTTAAAGTTGCAGTTTCCAAGAACGTGTCGATTGAGTGAGGACTTACCAGTCGTATATCCAGGAGATCACCAGCCACCATGACTATCTGGTCCCTAACATGTTGATACTTCCTTGGAACTTGGCTGCCCCACTTTGCCCTTTCTTATTGAAATGGCTGTTTTTGACACCCTTCTCTTGAGCAGATACCTGAGAAAGACTACAGGTTAATGATCTCTAATGATGGAAGGCCAGTGCATCAGTCTTCAAACCCTCCAGAGAGCCAGTTGAGAGGAGTGGAGAGACAGCCTGAGGATTTTAGCTATCTTTTAGCATGATGTTTTTTTGCATGCATTTTTTGTATATTTTATAAATAGTCACAACTTATAATTGGCATAATTCATAGGTTAATTAAAACACCTTGTTTGAATAAAATTTCTACATGAATATTAATTTTACAGTGGCTTATTTAATCCTTCTAAAATATTCAACTAAAAGTTCTACCTTATTTTTGTCTTTGATATTTTCTTTATAGGTATGTTTTTTACATAAACTACAGTATAAACAGTAGAAGTAGTTTATCATACATATACTTCCTAGTTATAAACTATTTTTCAGGCTTCTAAAGCACTGAAAAATGAAACCAAACAATAGCCTAACTGGTTTGGCTCAGTGGATAGAGCATCAGCCTGCGTACTGAAAGGTCCCAGGTTCGATTCCGGTCAAGGGCATGTACCTTGGTTGCAGGCACATCCCCAGTCATTAGGAGGTGTGCAGGAGGCAGCTGATTGATGTTTCTCTCTCATTGATGTTTCTACCTCTCTATCCCTCTCCCTTCCTCTCTGTAAAAAATCAATAAAATATATTTTTTAAAAAACCAATCACTTTCCAAACAGAAAAGTTTCACTGAATATACTGTATCTTAGATAAATCAGCTTTTATCTAGATTGCTTACAGATTTTGTAATTAACTCTAATTTGAATAGCTAGCCATGTCATTTATGATTGTTTTACATTTTACGCACTCCTGGAAAATAGGGCTGTTTCTATCTAAGTGGTCTCCTGAGCATCAGCCATACTCTGGGTGCCTGAGTCAGAGGTGGAGGGTGTGGGCTTTCTCATCAGAGGCACCTGTAGAACTTTGAGGAAAACTGGCCTGTAAGTAAAGTCACACTTCTTCAAGCTTGCAAACAAGTGTAAGCATTAGGTTAGCTTTTCTGCCATAAAAGTTTGTGCAGATATAATTCATATACCATACAGTATGTCTATAGGATAAAGACTATACAGTTCAGTGATTTTTTTAACTATGTTCACAGAATTGTATAATCACCACAATCAATTTTGGAACATGACATCACCCCAGAAAGGAACCCCAGGCCCATTAACAGTCACTCTCCTTTCCCCCACCTACAGCATGAGACAAGCACAAGTCTGTTTTCTATCTGTATGGTTTGCATATTCTGAAAGTTTCATATAAACAGAATCATATAAGTATAGCTTTTTGTGACTGATCTCCCTCACTTAGCATAATGTTTGCAAGGTTCATCATGCTGCAGCATGGATCAGCACAGCATTTCTTTTATGGCTGCATAATATTCCATTGTATAAACATACCACATTTTATTTACCCATTCATCATCTGATGAATATCTGGATTTTTCCACTTTGGGCTATTATGAAGAATGCCTCTGTGAACATTCATTTACAAGTTTTTTGTGGACATATATTTTCATATATCTTGGCTATATACCTAGGAGTGGAATTGCTAGGTCATGTGCTTACTCTGTTTCATCTTTAATTGAACTGCGGACTATTTTCAGAGTGACTGTATCATTTTACTTTCCTGCCAGCAATGTATGAGATTCCAGTTTTTCTACATCCTTCCCAGTATATGTCACTGGTATCTTTCAGATGACAGCCATCCTCATGTGTGAGAAATGTTATCTCATTCTTTTCACTTTCTTGATGGTTTCCTTTTGAATGCAGGACTTTTTTAATTTTGATGAGGTCCAATTTGTATATTTTTCCTTTATTGCTTGTACTTAGATATCATTTCTAAGAAAGTTTGCCCAACCTAACATCATAGAGATTGATTCCTGTTTTCTTCTAAGCATTTTATAATTTTGTTGCTTACATTTAGGTCTATTTTGAGTTCGTTTTTGTGTTAAGGACGGGCTCTAATTTGCATGAGAATGTCCAGTTGTCCCAGCATCACTTGTTGAAGAGACTATTCTTGGCCCATTGAATGGTCTCAGCACCCTTGTCAAAAATCAGTTGATCATAAATGCAAGGGTTCATTTCTGGACACTCAGTCTGTATTCTGTTTATCTATGTGTCTGTCCATATACCATTGTCACACTGCCTTGATTATTGTAGCTTTGTAGTAAGTTTTGACATTAGGAGGTGTAAATTTCTCCAACTGTATTCTTTTTCAAGACTGTTTTTGTATGTTAGGAATCAACTTGTCAATTTTTGTTTTTAAAAAAAGCCATCTGTGATTTTAATAGGCATTGCATTGAATCTGTAGAGCTTTAGCTTAATTTTTGAGGTTAAAGGCAGTGTGCCTGGAAGTGCATATGTTTAAGGAAATAAGCCAGCCCACATCCTCAAATCTGTGCAGGAGGGAACAGGCCAGGGACAGTGTTTCAGACTCTCCTTCCTCTCACAGGCAGGCTAATAGGAAAATTACTGTTTAGATAGTAAACACAGATTGCTGGGAAATCCTTGTGTATTTCGCACCTTTTACAGCAAAATATCTCACTCTCTGCCTTCACTCAGTCATACTTGACTGTAAGTTAATTTTCAGTAAAAGGAAATTTTGTCATAGCCAACTTTTTTGGACTGTTTGCGAAAGTGTGCTCTTAACTAATAGTCATGGGGCGGAGGTAACCATACGCCTGCAGTATTCTGTCAGCACTGTGTCTGTGGTGAACAGGCTGGAGACGTCGCCCTCACTACCTGTTCATATGTGATAATCGTCACAGGTCCTGATTGTCACTTTGTCCTTTCTTCCTCTTCAGGCGAGGCTTGAAATCTGTGCGCTGAGGGACACTGTGGCTGTCCACCTGACGCCTGAAAGCAGGTGAGACGCTGACAGTTCTTTCTGAGCGTTTGCTAAAAACAAAACTGTGTTACTAGTATATAAAGTCCTTTGAAAAGATAACTGGTCAGAGTGAATGCGCATGATTTTGTTTGTGAAAATGTTTATATTTGATTGATCAAATTTCTAGTTAAAAAGTACACATCTATATTAAGCCACGGATTCCTAAGACTGGTTCTTTGTAGCGTAATATAAAGGGGAAAAGATATAATATAATTTTACATTTCTCATTCTGTAAGGTAAATTTTTGTCTCATAAATGATGGAACAGAGCATCACATTCTTCTTTAGAAAGGAGAAAATAAGAATTGAGTCTATTCATAGCAGGCCTTTCAGGACAGTTCAAACATTGTGATCGTCAGCACAAGAGGAAGCCTTGTGGTTTCTCTGCAAAATTCTGTAGTGGAAATTTGATGATAATTTGTAGCTGTTTTGAATGAAAGTCAGGATTTCCTATCAATGAAATATCAGTAGGTGAACTGAAACAGCACTGACTACTTGCTTTTACAAAATTGTTTACTTCACTGGCAACATTACCCAGGAAATGCTGGGCAATGCTGTTAATGTGCATGAGAAGCCAAGTGGTAGACAAATGTTTAGGGTCTTTGTGCAATGCACATATTCCTTCATGTCCAGCTTTTGATAACATGGCTTATGCCATCATCCTTACTGCCATCGTTACAATGGAAAGACCTCTAAAGTTGTTTTCCTAACACAGCTTCTTTTTCCTGTTCATCATGGCCAACTAGAGCCATTTCTAGATGACTCCCATGTTATTTAACCACACCTTTTCCCAGTCATTGTTTTTTTTTAACACTAAGTACTAGATAACAGATGATAGAAAGCATTCGTTCCATATTTGATGTGTATGCATGCCTTGTGTAAGTACCTATGTAACTCAACCCTTCATAGCCCAGGTTCCTTATTATAAAAGGAAGATAATAATACTTTATAGGCAAAGTTTTGGAGAAATTAAATGAGACAATATGTAAAGTCACCTTCTAAACTTTCAGTGCACTACAAATAATAGGTTGTATCTTCTGCATCATCATTATTGTCATAATGTAAAAATAAAGAATAATAGCATCACATGTATGATTAATGGAAAAGAGACAGGAAATAGGATGATTATGGAGATGTGCAGAGACTCCCTCGATGTCAGGAGAGAGGAGAGCTGGTTTCATATTGTGAGGTTGCTGAGTGTGCCCACAGCTAGGCTATCCCTGCACCCATACCCTGCCCCACCAGGAAGAACTGAAGGGATCAAGTGCCAGTTTTTATCTCTTTATATATTGCTAGGATACCTGTCCCTAGTTTGGGAAATTCTGCTCAGAAGTTCTTTCCTGGTATATTGAGGATGTTTTTATAATACAAAATCAGAGACCACTTTAAAGTCATGGATAATTACATTTATTTATTCACCTTTCTCTTAGTGAACGGTAGAGCATTGGCCCGAACACCAAAGGGTCGTGGTTTCGAATTCCGTCAAGGGCATGTATCTGGGTTGCAGGTTCGAACCCCAGCCCCGGTCAGGGTTCATGCAGGAGGCAACGAATCCATGTGTCTCTCTCACATGGATGTCCCTCTCTCTCTCTCTTTCTCTCTCTCTCTCCCTACCTTCCTCCCTCCCTCCCTCCTTCCATCTTCCTTCTTCCTCCCTCCCACTCTCTCTAAAAATTAATGGGAAAAATATCATTGGGTCAGGATTAACAAATAAATAAATAAAATTCACTTTTCTTTTTCATGAAATGTAATAATGATGACTTTTAAAAATATATATATACATCTCTCCATTATCCTAAAAATTTTAAACATAATAATAGCTAAATTCTATTAAAAAAAACAACTGTGTTCAGTCATTATAAGATATTGGCTGTAAATCTGACCTAGACACATCAATACTATAAATGTCCCCATTTGTGTAATCTTTCACAGGATCATATTTCTACTTAGTTTTCCTTCCTTTCTGACCTGTTGCTTTATCTAGAATTCAGTTTTGTTTTGAAATAAAGACTTTTTTGAAAAAGTAAATGTCCTCATTTAACTTTTACCAACCAAATTGAATAGCATCCTTTTATAAAATTCCATTTTTCCTTTAGTTTTTCAAGTTCTGTTTCATTTCCTAAACAAGTTTTTGACCCTGCTCCTGCAAAGCCTCTGGAATTAGACCTTCACTTTTACTTTTTCGGTTGTTTTTCACTTGTACTTTTTCTCACATACCTACATGCTTCCCTTTTTATACTAGTTTCTTCGTGTTTAAGAGTTCCTAATGGTGCTCTAATCCCCATGAGAAACAGCAGTGTTTCAGCTCCGTGTTGCTGCTTGTGTTCCAGGTCCAGTTTTAAGCAGGCTCTGGAAGCGCTGCCCCAGCTTTCCAGCGGAGCAGACAAAAAGTAAGTGCTCTGTGCTTTCCTGGGAGCCAGGCAGACATGCTGAGCGCAGTGCGGCTACCTGAAAGTACTCTTTCTATAAACAATGACTTGGATTTAAGGAAGAGCAGTATTTAGTAGCCCTTCATAGTATGCATCATGCTAGCTGTGCCTTGCTTGTCTCCCAGTGGCAGAATATGGAAAAACCCTTCTTATGGCTTTATGGCAATTTAGAAATTAGTTATTTTCTTCGTTTAAGTGACTAGTATAGAAAACGTCATAAGAAAGTTTATTTTGACTCAGTCAATTATATCTCTCTTAAATGTTGAAGAAGATACTACTTAGAAATTAAAAGAGAGGACAGCGTAGTAAAATGCAGGGCCCAATGATTTGTACTCTGCATATATAAAGTATTAAGAGAGAATAGATTTGTAAATATGATATAATGAAGTTAGATATGTTTCACTAGTACTATATTGATTGTCTCAGTCTGAATTTAAACTTTGTTACTCATGTAACAGGAAATTCTGACCTGAGACAAAATCTAGGCCAGGTCAATTTCATAAATGCCCAGCCTACCCTCAGCTGAGGCAGTGGAAACATTGTAGATCTTTGGTCCTCCAAGGTAACTGAAGTCCACCCACCTTTGCATTTGGCTGATCAGCCCCTAAACAAATATTTATGGGGGTGATCAACTACATGAAACACTCGGGCCCTGGCATCTAACACAGGTGATGTTGTGCAAACTTAAAGGGCAGAGAGAATGCATGGGGTTGGCTGACAGTAGGGGTGTCATGGGGACACGTGGACTGGGCTGGGAAGAGTGGGCAGCAGACCAGTTCTTTTGCTTATATGTTCCTGTGTATGTTCCTGAATGGACAAGTGATGGCTGTGCAGTGTTCACATCTACAACCCTTTCTGCCAGTTTTTTACTTCCTTTTTCTCACACTAATTCTCAAGCTCTATCTGAATTTATGACAAACTGTGTTCATTTATTTAAAATAAATATGATAAAAGATTAAAACAATTACCATTATTTTTAACATATAGAACATGGCTTCAAAGGCTAGTGCTTTTTGCGGGGAGTCAAGAAGAACAGTCACTCTGTTATAGTCCTGGGTAGACTGTGTTGTAGATCTGTTGGTACAGTGTCCTGATACTGAGCATTGTCAACCCCTGAAATAATCTCTCGATCCCAGTAGCAGTAAGCCCACTTCTTGGTTGCTTCATCTGAACCAGATGAATCTAAGATCCCTTCTGGACTTAAAATTACATGGACAAATCAGATCAATTAAGAAAACAAAGTGACTTGTAAAGCAGTAGAATGACTTGCCCAGTGGACTTAGAAGTAAACCTGATTCCTCTGGCTTTAGTTCACCACTTGCCAATATTTGTTAAAGACAAAAATACAAAAATAAGAGGAACAGAGACTAGACAAATTATTGCCCCAGGGTGGGGGTAACGGGGAAGGTGGCTAAAAGGGGCAGCACGAGAGAACTTGGAGAAGGATGGACCTGTTCTGCATCTGGTTACGGGAATTGTTAGTCTGCTAAGTGTTTAGCAGCATTCATAGAACTGTGTGCCAACAAGACTACATTTTAATTTTTGAAAAGTGAATGAAGAAAATGTACAGGTGCAAACAATCCGTTTTAGGGAGGACTCTAATCTTGGGGAAGGGCACAGGAGAGATTTTTATATATAAACATAATTAAGTATCTTCCTTTTTACTCCTTTGATTGACTGATTTCATTACTGAGTTGAATCCATCGATAAATCATGCAATTGGCTCCCGTGCGTGTTTTCTTATATTGCTGGACAAGCTTCCTTCTGTCGGCTGTAAATAGTCTCTGCTCCTGCAGGTTACTGGAAGAGCTGCTGAACAAGTTCAAGAGCAGTATGCACCTGCAACTCACCTGTTTCCAAGCTGCTTCTTCAGCCTTGATGAAAACATAAATGCCTCCAAAGTAAGGGTCATCCAAAGATAACAAGTGATGAAGTTATTCTCTTTAAGTGCCCTAAAGGTATTTGTATATAAAGCATTACATTTGCAGTTTTTCTCCTTTTTCTCTCTCCTGAATTAGTAGCTTAGAAAGATGTTGGTATATGTTTTATTTCAACCAAAATACCCTTGTTTGAAATGCCAAGCTTATTAAGAAATACACAGCTTTACGCTTTTGGCTCGGAGGAGGCTCAGATGCAACTTTCTTTGGTCGTCCCGAATCCGGGTTCATCCGACACCAGCTGCCTCCACCATTCCGCCGAAGTTCAAGTCAAACTCGTATACCTGAGGTGCACCGGTGGGGAAGTGGGTGCCACATCTGCTCTGGACCCCAAGATTGACCCCCTGAGCCTGTCTCCAAAAGAGGTTGGTGATGACGTCACCAAAGCAACCAGTGATTGGAAGGGTCTGAGAATTACAGTGAAACTGACCATTCAGAACAGACACGCCCAGATTGAGGTAGTGCCTTCTGCCTCTTCCCTGATCTTCAAAGTCCTCAAAGAACTGCCAAGAGACAGAAAGAAGCAAAAAAACATTAACCACAGTCGAAATATCACTTTTGATGAGATTGTCAGCATTGCCTGACAGATGCAGCACCGATCTGTAGCTAGAGAACTCTCTGAAACCATTAAAGAGATCCTGGGGACTGCCCAGTCTGTGGACTACAATGTTGATGGCCGCCACCCTCATGACATCATAGATGATATCAACAGTGGTGCAGTGGAATGTCGGGCTAGTTAAGAACTACAAAGGAAAATATTTAAATTAAAGATTATTTGATAACCAAAAAAAAAAAAAAAGAAATACACAGAATATTGTCTCTCTTAAGCATGTTAACCATTGTAGCCAATAAAGAATGTCTTCAATGGAATATGTAATTTAGTTGACATTTTTCCCCTAAACATCTTTACTCAACATTTTCATTAGCTATATAACTTTTTATAGGTCTAATGTTAACACTCAGAATAAATATTTAAATTCCAGTTTACCTTATGTTTGTCTATGCATCGTCGGGAAGCTTTTGTCAGGTGTTCTGCTAATTATCTCCTTGATTAGGGCTCACCGTATGCTAGGCACTGTGCTAAATCATCTCACAGCACTTCCGGCAGGCTTTTGAGGACACTGCACTGGTGGTATTTTGTTTATGTCACAGATGAGGTGATCAAGGCTTAGAGAGCAGTCGGTGGCTTCTCTAACACTCAGAGTTGTCCGGTTCATGCTCTTTAACTTCCCCACAGCCAGCTCTTCCCGCTGGCCCTCCACCAGTGACTGTGGCTCAGGGAAGCACTTTAACGTGAGAGGGTAATAAAATGTAAGTAAAATAGGAACAAGTAAGTGCTTTTGTAGCTCAGAGGATGGAGGGTAGGCACATAAAATCCCCATACCCAAATGAGGTAGTTCAAGGATTACTGTTCCAACAAGTCAAGGGCAGTTCTTGGAAGAAAGGGGAATTTTAAGAGCATTTGAGCTACAGAAGAATTTAGTGGTTAAGAGGAAACGGCTGAATACAGTGTAAGCAGAATTCTGAGAGATTTGGAGCAAATTTACATAGAGGTAGCCAAGAAAAAAATGAAGTTAGGTAAAGGTGTTTGCTTTCACGCCCAGGTAGCATTGGGGTTTAGCACATCCACATCCATGTGGTCAACCTTGCTACTGACAGTTGGCACAGTGGGCCTCGCCATCAGTGCTGAGGAAGTACTAGGAGCAGTTTGGCTTTACTACGACTTTCTGTATCCGTGTACATGAGAGTGGCATGCTCTGGAAATGACTCCAGCATCACAAACAGCACAGTTGCTGCAGCCCCTCCCTGCAGCATCCTCCTGTTTGTCAGCCTTGCTGCAGGCTTCCTAAAAGGGATGGAGGGCAAAGACTACATTTCAATTCTAGACTTGGTAAAAGATGGCCTTGTGTGTTTCTGTTTGGATTATGTGGTGTGGGATGTTTTTATTATGAGTTGCATAAGGATATTATAATGTGTTTTCCAAAAGTTATCATAAATCAGCAGCTTTTAAGTAAAGGTTAGGTTTCTAAAATAAGTAAAGTTAACTGTATTTTATTTAATATATGCTTAAAAATTATGCTTTATTATAGACTAGAGGCCCGGTGCACAAAAATTTGTGCACTCAGGGGGAAGGGAGGGTCCCTCAGCCCAGCCTGTGCCCTCTCCCAGTCTGGGACCCCTCGGGAGATAACGACCTGCTGGCTTAGGCCTGCTCCCGGGTGGCAGAGGGCAGGCCCAATCCCTAAGGGCAGCCCCTGGTCAGGCTCAGAGCAGGGCCGATTGGGGAGTTGGGGCGCCACCCCCTGTCATGCACAGAGCAGGG